CATACATACATACATACATACATACATACATACATACATACATACATACATACATACATACATGCATATAAATATGAAAGTATTTAGCCTAATCGTTCTATTACTTTCTACTACGGCATATTTATGATTTTCTTTTAGTTCTTAGTATATATGATAAGTGGGCTAGAGGAGATTAATAGTTTGTTACGAGAATGTGATCCAGCTCTAACAACGTCGTTTATTGACGAGACAGACGGAGGCAAAGTTTGTTTTCCCCGTAATTGCAAGTGGATGCCTCGTGGATCGTAGCATCATGAAGGATGCAGTATAATCAAACGACCGCAGAAAAACAAAATTCAGACATCGTCTTCTGATGTGATCTCGCCGCGAATCTCTTCATCAACAACCCTTCGTGCATACAACGTAGTGAGCATTCCTTGAATAAGACTATGACTGGCTCAACTTAAGGTAGTTTTTTTTCGTTATATGTAGTTTCCGAGGCTAAAATTAATTTTTGAATAAGTATTTCGTCAACTCTAGCCTTGCTTTCCAAAGACCCATTCCATCGAGGCTCAACAGCAGGTTCAACCTTGTCCGAACTGATCTTATCAGCAGTCCCAATGGGATTTGAGCCCGGGACGTGGGTATTATGGCGACGTTAGCCACTCGACCCAAGACAGTGGTTCGAATCCCGTTAGGGTTTGTTGATGTAGCGATGAGGCGAATTCACAGCCGAATTTCAGCCATGCCTTTTGACAAGTATGGTTGAGGGAAACAGGAAAACTCTCATCACTTTATGCGACCCCGGCTGACTAAATTCTTTTTTTTGAAGGTCACTCAATTGGTACATGTTGCATTCTCAAAGCCAACTTGACGTAGATGTCAGCACCGATGTGTGTGTCGTTCTCTGTTTCCCGATTAAATTTGTGCATGTGCATGTTTATGTAAGTGTGTCGACAAGAGAACTATACTGAATATTATTATTATTAAAGTAGTATAGATTAAAGTAGCCTCAGTCGTTCTGAGCAATATTAAAAGCGGTTGGGCATGACTTGAAGGTTGATTGAAAAAGAGGCGCGGCTCACGAGGGTCTGAGGAGCCCAATCGTCCGACGATTCGACTCCTCCGAACCGGTCGGCTGTGTCGTCTTCCCTCGCGCAAACTCCGACCCCGATCGGCTTGGGCTGAGACGACAAGTTCGTCGGGCGTCGGCCATTTCTCGGATGGCCGGTGGCGGCGGGAGACGGAGCGCCAGCCAAAGACGTTCGAGCCAGACGTCGACGAGACAGCAGTTGGGAAAGACGACGCTGAAGAAGCGAGTGCGCAACTCACGTGGCAGACAGACAGCGAGAGCGCTACGAAGACGAGGCTCTTCTGCCAGGCGACAGAAGCAGTCAAGCGTAAACTGGAGCAGATTCTCTCCGCGCCACGGCGAGGTGGGCAGACCAGAGAAATCCTGTGAAAGAGACCGTTGATGAAGAGGAGGAATCAGATGCGACGAACGAGAACATGCTCGAGATGGCATCAACTCGTCGTCAGGCTGCTCGCCGTTCGAGCTGGTCGACGTAAGACGGTGGGCTCGAGTCGCGACAGGGCCAGAATCGTGGACGTCGGTGGCGAGTGGCAGCATGAGTCTGGACTGCATCGCTTTTGAATGATCAATTTTCGGTTCGAATCCCGTCGCTGAGCTGACGTACAGTCTGTGACTCCCTTTCTTACACGTCCTCTCTCCCCTCCTCTATGAGATGTATTCACTCTGTTTCGCTTAAGGGGATGGCGCTGTATTTTCATGGTTCGACTCCCGCTGGGGTGGTAAGAAAACCTGAGCTAGGTCGAAAATGCAGTCTACTTCGGCCAGGATGAGAACACCTTTTAGGAAAGCAAGGCTATGTGAAATTCAATGGAAAGCGTCAGCTCAACTCGTATCATTGTGGAAAAATTCGACTGGCAGCCCTTCATCACCTTGAACGAAATAGTGTGAATAAAGTTCATAGAACTGACTTACTGGCAGTCTTGAAAACCTAATTATGAATAAAAAATGTCTCTTCGCTGGAGCAGCAACTCGACTGGTAATTAAGACAAATAGATCACACCTTGCCTCATCTCCCAAAAAGCTATTTCATCTCAGCTCTACTGGATTGCACGCTCAACTGGATTCGAACCCAGATCGTGAGTAGCGTAACGACGAGGCCCCTCCACTACACGCCCGTTGCCGCCAGTGGAGCATAGAGAAGAGGTCACATTCAAGACAAGTCAGGTCCTATCCAAATCAACAATGTTGTATATTTTACATATAAATAGTCTCCAAGTACCTTTGTGGTAAAAATAATAATCGCGATTTTAAGAGGCCTGAATCACCTAGAATATGATATCTGCGGATTCAAGATGTCGTCATAAAATAAGAGAAGGTAAGGGATAGGGCTCAACTTGTTGTTTAAATAAAATCATTCATTCTATTTCGTTAAGATGATTAAGGACTGGTAGCTGAATTTTTTCAAGATCGTATGAGTAAACCTTACGTTCCCGTTGAATTTCACATTGTCTCGCTTCCCAAAAAGTATTCTCATCCAGGCTGAATTGAACTGAAGTATGGACCTCTCCGCACATACATACTATGCAATACTATGCTATAATATATTATACTATACTATACT